CACACACACACACACACACACACACACACACACACACACTACCCCCTCCTCTTTCCGCTTGTGCCACCTACACTGCCCTCACTCCCCCTCCTCCCCGGGCAGCCCTCAGCCCGCCCCTCTCCCCACTCCTTAGGCCCCACCTCCGCTCACGCGCTGCTTTCAGCCCCCTCCCAGTGTTTCAAAGGCACTCTAGAGGACGACCCCGGCCAAACCGAGAATCTCAGCTCTAGCATCGTGAGACCTAGAGCCGTCTACTTGGAGCCTTCGGGAGACGGGGAGCTCACTACCTGTCGGGCTGCTGGTTTGCCGCCATGGCTGTCCAAGTGGGCCGTCTCTGCCACATCTCCTTGCACGTGCCCCGCGGCCAGCCCCTGGCCCGGGACTTGCAGCGTTGCTTCGGCTTCCGGCCCGTGGCCGTGCGGGAGTCCGGCGGCTGGCGCCAGCTGGCCCTGTGCAGCGGGGATGCCGTGTTCCTGGTGAATGAGGGCGCGCCGGGCACTGGGGGCAGCCGCGAGGGGCCCCTCTACGACTTGGACCCCGCGCACGCCGTGCCCACCGCCTCCAACGTGTGCTTCGAGGTGGCCGACGTGCGGGGCGCCGTCGGGGCGCTGCGGGAGCTCGGCTGCCCAGTGGCTGTGCAGCCCCAGGCCGTGGCCGACGCCCAGGGCACAGTCACCTACGCCGTGGTGCGCTCCCCAGTCGGTAACCTGAGCCACACCCTGCTGGAGCGGGGCGCTTACCGGGGGCCCTTCCTGCCGGGCTTCCAAGAATGCGGCCGCCCGGACGGCGACGGCGACGGCCACAGCCAAGGTAGTTGGTTCAGCCACGTGGACCACGTAGCGCTGGCCTGCCCTCGGGGCAGCTCGGGCGCGTGGCTGCGCTGGTACCAGGAGTGCTTGGGCTACCGACGCTTCACCCTGAGCCCGGCCGATGACCACCCTGAGCAGGGCTTGGAGATCCGGGCTGGCCCGGCCGGGGGCCTCCGTCTGGCTGCCCTGCGGGCGCCCCCGGGCAGTGTGGCTCCTATGCTGGTGCTGAGCGAATCGTTGCCAGGCCTGCCGGTTGCCCAGGACCAGGTAGAGCACTTCCTGGCCCAGCACGGGGGCCCGGGCCTGCAGCATGTGGGCCTCTACACTGGGGACATCCTGGCGACAGCCCGTCGGGTGGCCCAGGCCAGCGGCAACCTGGTGGCCCCTCCTGCCACCTACTACCAGCAGGCTGGCAAAGTGGCCCAGATCTTGGCTGCGGGCCAAGAGGTTGGGAGGCTGGCCGAGCTGGGCATCCTGCTGGACAAGGATGGAAGGCAAGGCCAGGGTACCAATTACCTGCTGCAAGTTTTCACCAAGCCCCTGTTTTCCGAGGAGACCTTCTTCTTGGAGCTGATCCAGAGGCAGGGAGCCACGGGCTTTGGCCAAGGCAACATCCAGGCCTTGTGGGAGGCTCTGGAGGAGCACATGGCCGCTTGCCAGCGGGCTGGGGAGCCCCGCTGAAGAAGAGAGCCTCCTCGACGGAGCTGGATCCTGCTGCCCTGTCTTATCTTCCGTGCCAGCCTTGGCTACATTGGAACCCTCCTGGTGCAGAAGCCCAGCCCCCTCTCAGTGGTGTGTGGACACAGCCTTACCCACCTCTACTTGGAGGGGCCTGAGAGTCAAGGACCTGGTTCAGTCCTGTCTTCCTCCCACCCCCAGCCCCCGTCTGCCCTATCCAAGGGCACTAGCTGAGTCTGTCTTTCCAACTTGAAACCCTCCTGGCATCCTAACGAATCGAGATGGTTCACATCTGAATTTCTACTGGAAAGAGGTCCCAGGGCTTCTTCCTCAGTGACCTTGGACTTGATCCTTCCCAGCTATGGGTCCTTGTTTTCTCCTCTGGGATAAAAGCTCCCTCAGGTCCTTCACCTTAAATCCAGTGACCCCCTGACCTTAGCCCCACTGTCCCTGGCAAGTGCCTAGCCTGAGGTTGTACAGGAGCCTTCACCTTGACCAGGTGTAGTAAGATTGGCACAGATGCTAGTGCCTAGGAAGCTGCCAGGAGCCAGGCACCTGCCCAAGAGCCGCCCCTAAGTTATAAGGGTGGGGGGCAGAAGGGAGGAGCCGCTCTGAACCTGAGGGGGAGAGCCCCTGGGATCTGGGTGAGACATTCTTGGGGGTGGGAAAGGGGGTCTCGCCGCAGCCGCCATACCCTGTCCTTGGCTAATAAAGACCTTAAAAGCTCTGCTGCCAGATTGGCTTTATCTCCTCCTCCACCCACACCCCCATTGGGGGCGGGGTAGGGAAGCAGGGGAGGGCGGCCTCCGGTGTGGGCAGAGGGGACTTGGGAGACTGGGTGTTCGAGGAATCTCGGCCCGCCCTAGCCTGGGCGTGGCCAGGTTGTCCTGGGCCGTTTTCAAGCGCTGCTAGTGAGTTGCCTCTGAGGGAACCTGGACTGGTAGGTTTGGTGTATAAGTGATTAATTAGCTTGTTTGTCTTCCACTTCCCCCGGAGCAGAACTGGGAGGAACCTGGGCTGGGATGCCACCAGCCACTTGAGGCTGAACTTGGAAGGTGGCGGAGAGTGCTAAAGATGCTGTGGCAAAGGCAGGTCTGAGATGCTTAAAGTGGAGAATGGGACAGGCCATGTGCTGCCCTGAGCAGGTGTGCCTGGGGGCCAGCCCTTCCCTGGGCTCTCCACTTCCCCCAAACAAACCTCAGCAGGGCCCAGGGGTGATTGTTGGACTTGGGACCCAGGAAGCTGGATTTCAGATCCCGCCAGAGCCCTGATCACAAGCAAGACTCAACCCTGAGCCTCCATTTCCTCCTCTGTAAGGTGTAGGTCATCTTTGTATCACCTGGCTCAAAAGGTTATTTTGAGGAAAGTACCCGGCAAAACCTGTAGCCCTAGGGAAATGTGGGTTACAACCAGGGTCATCTGCCCTGGGTGCCAGCCGTTCCTGGAGCTGAGGGACACCGAGGAGGTGAACAGTCCATTGGAGGGGGAGTTCCTGGCACAGACCCTACCTACAGTTAACGACCAGTAAGGGGCCAGGCTCAGGCACACGAGTAAAACAAATACACAGCTTGACCACATAACCCTAAAATGTTTTTGCATAAATAGTATCAAGACAGGATTAGAAAAGAACAGTGGAAATGATGAGGATGGGTTCTGAATCCCTAAAAGGAAAACACCAAAACTATTAAACTATCAGTGACTCTATGAAAACATGGCCCAAATCAGTAGTGGTATGACAAATGCTAATTAAAACACTGCTGAGGTTTCAATTTTGTGCAAATTGGCCAAGATGAGAACTGGGAACAGTCCATGCTGGAAAGGCTATGGAAAGTCAGACCCCTGATGCATTACTTTTGGCTGAGCTTTGTTTGAAATGGACCAACCTTTCTGGATGTAGGGAAAGTGACTAAGTTGTACTTAATGACCTAGTAGTCTCACTACATGCACCAATCCCAAGGAAGGCAGAGTCAGAAAAGGTCCTAATATATACCAAAAGTGTCATGGAAGCACTCTGGGGTAGTTAAAAAAAAAAAAGGGGGCACCCACAAGATTCATAAAACGGATCTATGGATGTTCAAAGACAGCTGAGAGTAGGAATACTCTTATAATGATTCGCTTTAATGAAAAATGAATTTATTATAATTTAATAATCTCTAAAATAATAAATTCCCTGTAATAAATAAGAATGGCTGTACATATAACTCCAAGAGTCCAATTCATGACCCCATTTGAGGTTTTCTTGGCAGAAATACCGGAGTGGTTTGCCATTTCCTTCGCCAGCTCATTTTACAGATAAAGAAACTGAGAAATGGTTCAGTGACTTGCCCAGGGTCACACAGCTAGTAAATGTCCAAGGCCAAATTTGATCTCAGATCTTCCTGACCCCAGGCCAGAGCCACCTAGCTGCCCCAACAAAGGATATGCTATTTCACTTCACAAGAATTGTAAACTAGTAGACTGTAGAAACATGTTCTCAATCATGAATCTCCAGAAAAATTCCAATGAGCCAGGCCTGCTGGGACAAGCATTCCCATTTTTCTAGAGCTTCAAAGTTTGCAAAGTACTTTCAGAAGCACAACCCCTGGAGCCAGGAAGCCCTGGGCTCACATCCTGACAGTGAGACCCTGACCCAGTGGTTTAGCCTCTCCCTGCCCCAGCAGAGAAGGGGCCCACCTGGATAGGCTGGGAGACTTCTCTCCCTGGGAAGCTCCCTACTGTAGGAATGAGAGCAAAGGCCCAGCTCTTAGCCTAGGAATGTGCAGCGAGAAGGGATGAGCAATGGGCTTGGGAACCCTATACACAAAGCAAACAGAGCTTATCCAGGCTTGCAAAGCTCTTACATCTCTTTGGACTGTCATGACCACGCTGGGAAAGAGGGGTTATCATTACTTCCCTCCCATCTTCCCCTCTTCCTCTACTGCTAGTGAGTGTCTGGGGCCATATTTGAATTGAGGGCTTCCCCAGTAGAGGCCCTGTGCTCTATGGCACCACCTAGTGGCCCCTAAGAAAAATCACTGGGGAGTGGCACTATGCTAGGAGTAGTTGAAGGTCCCAGAGAAGAGATTTGGAAATAGACTTCCTTTCTCACTGCAAAGAGGTGGGGGGCCAGTAGGGCGTAATACTGCATGCACTGTTGGATGAAGTTTATGTATCAGATATTTTTGCTCACTTGCATTTTGTCACACGGGAGGGTTCCACCTGCAGCTGGAAAATAAACAAGACAGCAATAACATTTTTTTAAGCAATCAGGCGCTACAATGATATTCAAACTGTTTTCAGGGCCTAAGAGGATGCAGTTCTTAGGATGCCTATGCCTAGAGTCATTCTAGAAGGCTTTGCAACCTTGACACTGAACCCCAGAATCTCAGGGTTGGCAAAAGCTCAGGACGTAGGCCTTCAGCTTCCGGGGGATGGCAGAGTTCAAGATGGGGGGAAAGGCCAGATTTCTATCCACAGATGTGCACACTGCTACCCTGCTGGGCAGGGAGGCCAGTCCAGGACTGGCCCTAACCTGAGTGGATTCTTTGGATCCCAAACCTCTGCTTGTCAGGCTTCCTTCACACCAAGCAACAGAAGCAAAGGGGCTGACTGGGACCTGCTCTCTCCTCCTCCCAGGATACCCCAGGAACAAAGCCCATCTCTCTTGCCTCTGATGGCAAACTCAGTGAGATTTCAAAAGCAAATGCCTTCTTTATTACTAAAAGGAGAGACATTTCTCATGACATTGCCTTTTTTTTTCTGCTTAAATTCATACCCTAACCTGCCCTTTTTTTGGGGGGGTCAGGCAATGGGGTTAAGTGACTTGTCCAAGGTCATATAGCTAGTAAGTGTTGTGTGTCTGAGGCCGCATTTGAACTCAGGTCCTCCTGACTCCAGGGCCGGTGCTCTATCCACTGCGTCACCTAGCTGCCCCCTAACCTACCCTTTTAAAACTGGTTTCTTTAACCAGAGAACTTTGATTGTGGTTGGCTGCTTAAAAATTATGTTCATCAGCCCTAACAAAGGAATTATCTAGGTGGATCGAGCATTGAGCCTGGAGTTAGGAAGACCTGAGTTCCAATCCAGACTTAGATACTATCTAGTTGTGTGACCCTGGGCAAGTCCCTTAACCTCAGTTTCCACATCTGTACAATGGGGATATTAATAGCATCTATCTCCCAGGGTTGTTGTGAAGATTAAATGAGAATAACGGCAAAGCTCTTAGCACAGTGCCAGGTACATGGTGACCAATACTTGTTAGTTATTATTATAAGACAAGCTCCTGTTTAAATGATTAGGCCCCAACTCCAACTAAATAATCACGTTTTTCTGTGAACATAGGCCCCAACTCCAACTAAATAATCACGTTTTTCTGTGAACAGATCTGCATCCCAGTGCCCGTGTCAAGCCTGCCCTTTTGGGTAACAAAGGTACAGTGCTGGAGCAGCCTTTTTCAGACCCAAATCCTGGAAGAGCCCTGCTGCCCGCTTCTCTGTGAGATCTTCATCTGGGAGCACCCTTGGGCTGCAAAATCCTGGGTTAAGTGCCCAGTGAAATCGATTCCCTTCCCCCCAAGGCAAGGCCTGCACATTCCTGGAATTAACCAGGAGGTTTTTCTACTTAAATTCCTGACTTTCCGTTACGATAACTGGCCTGATTACAATTCTTTCATAAAACTCTAGCCTTTCACCCTTCAATGCATGTCGCTGGGGCTGCTGGGCAGCAATCCTGAGCACGGTGGCCTGCTTTGGAGGCCCGTGGGACGTGTCTCTCACTCCTGGTACTGTCTGTGGGCACAGGAGCAGTCTGGGGGCAGAGATGTGCCATCATCTGTGCTCATGATGTGACCGTCCCCTACGATTCCACCACCTGAGGCACACTGGAGAAGGCCCAAAGTTACTGAGTGCCAGCCCACCCTCTGAACAGAGACCACCTCTACAGCCGTCTCCCCAAGTGGCCATCCAGCCGCTGCTCTGAAGACCTCCCAGGCCAGGAGTCTCCTTACCTCCTCCTAACTGGCTCCCATGGAAAAAGAAGGGACCTTCAGTAGGGCTGAGACCCAGGCATGTTTGTAGAGCAGGCACAGAGATGACAGGGTGCCTGAGGCCCGGAGCCCAGAGCAAGGACCTTGGTACCTGGGATGCATGATTGTACTTCCTCGCTCCCAAGTAAGGTTGCTGAGTCACAGACACCTGGCGGGGCTTGGCAAAGAGGCCTGGCTAGTGTGCCTGTAAGGAGGTGAGCTGCCTGGCCAACCCTGCCCTGATTACAGGGAGCTTTGGAGCTGCGTGGCCAGGCCTCTATCCCCCAACAGCCCAATTCTGAGCAGCCCTGGCTCTTCCTTCAGGTGTCCTGGGCACCTTCTCTTCACCTTCTTGGAAAGAGAAAGTAGTAGGGAGAGGGTTCAAAGGGCAAAAAGGTGCTGGAGAGACAGTCTTTAAAAACAAATCCTTTATTTACATAATATGAGTCTCACTGCTGACCTGCAGCCAGGTTGAGGGGAAGGGAGGGGAAGGGGCACCTGCCCCGTCCTCAGGGCCCTGGGGCCAATCAGGGGGCAGAAGTTGGCTTGAAAAAGGCACCGAGGGTCAATTGTCGGCATTGGCGGCCAGGCCCAGGCCCAGGGCCTGAAGTGGCAGGATCTTGGGGACTTTTGGATGAGGCCTGTGGGGGAAACCCGGAACATGGGGGTCCCTGGCAGCCAGAGGAGACTGGGAGCATGGAACCCTCATGCCAAGGCTCTCCCAGTGTGCCAGGAGTAGCTGGCACAGTGTAAAAACAGGACTGGGTCTGGGGCAGAGAACTGAGGTTCTGACATCAACTTACAAAGGGACTCTGGATAAGGGTCTTGATGTCCCCAAACCTCAGTTTCCTCCTCTGTCAAATGAGGCCAGTAATCCACCCAGGTTCCTTCCCAGGTTTTTGGTGAGGCTCGGGCTCAGTGGGTAAGGAAGTGGGGCTGGGCTTGAGGCAGACTCAGACACTCCCCAGCTGTGTCCCCTGGGCAAGCCTCCTGCCCTCCCTGGGCTCCTACAATGCGGTGTGGGCCCAGGAACTCACCTTCCTATGCCCTGAAGGCTGGCCCTCAAACAGCTGGAGAACCTGCCCGGGCAAGAAGCAGGAGGTGGGTGAATGGCCTCAGCTCCCAGCTCCACTGCTCCCCAACCTGTCCTCCCCGACCCCCACTACCTTCTTCATGGCCGTAGACACAGCGGCCGCCTGGAACTCAGCCCGGCTCACCCAGCGGGCACCCGATGGGAGCAGGCCCTGGGGCTGCTCTTCCAGGGCCAGGCTGTATACCACGTAGGTCTGCCGGATGTGGGAGAAGACATGGACCACCTGGGGACAGCAGGGGTGAGCAGGGGCTTCTGCACAGCAGCTGCACAGAGCCCCCTCCTGCATCTCTGCTCACCTCGCCAAGGCACCGCAGGCTCCTCAGGGGGAGGGGGCCGCGCACCCAGGTCTGCAGTGCCTTCACAAGTGCCCGGCGCTGGACGGACTCAGTGCCTTCTGCTGGTACAGAGGGGAACTCCCAGAGGCTGGCCAACAGGCCTGCAAGGAGGGCAAGCAGCCGTCAATCCTTCCTGGCCACCCCCGCTGCTTCCCCCACCTCCAATGCAGAGAGAGCGCCAAGTGATCTCAGGGGTCATCTAATCCATCCCCTACAGAGGAAGAAGCTGAGGCCCAAGAGGCAAGGACTCACCCAAGGTCATCAGGTTGGTGACAGGATTTGAACCCAGGCCTCAAGAGTCCAGACCAGTGCCTGGTGCGCTGACCCTGAGCCTTTGCCCAGCTTTCATACCTGAACTGGGCCTCTGCACCAGCAGGAAGCGGCTGGTCTCAGGGCCCGGCTGCTGAAGGACACAGACAGCCACCCGCTGCTCCCGGGGGGCTTTCCGGGCTGGCTGGCGGGGAAAGTTGACCACACCAAGGTCTTGACGCCAAGGCTCTGATGGGGGCAGGCACAGTGGACACGAGCCGGCCCTCCTGGGGGCTGGACATAGAGACGGGCTGGGGCCAAGGTCTGGGAGCAGGGGGACGGCTCCCCAGCCCAGCCCAGCCCAGCCCAGCCCAGCCCAGCCCAGGGCTGCTCCCTCCCTCCTGAGGCCAGTCCCACATCCAGACATTGGGTGAAACACGAGAGGAGACCCCACGAGTGCCTGGAAACTGCGAAGGCTGCCCTACGATGGGCCAGACCTTCGAGGGCCTGGCAGGGGCTGGGAAAAGGTGACTGGGCCAGGCCCGGCCTCTCACCACACTCCTCCACTTCAAGCGTCTTCTCCTGCTCTGGGCTGCCCAGCAGCCTCCGAGACACCGCTGCCTGCACCTTCTCCACCTGCCATTGAGGATACGGCACTTGGAGAGGGCTCTGCGGCCCCCTGCTCCCTGCCCGCCCCAGGCCTCCCTACCCCAGGGGTGCTCACCCTCTTCTGGGCCTGACAGAAGCCCCGCACGGGGCACTTGGGGCACAGCGGACCTCGAGGGGTGCAGACTGTAGCGCCCAGCTCCATGGCTGCCTGGTTGAAGTCCCCTGGCCGGGCTGGGTCCACCAGCTGCTGGGCCAGGCTCCTGCCACACAGCTCCTTGGGTTAGAGCTCCTGGAGCCCACGCTGCCCCAGAGAAAGGCCACCTCCCGCCTCCCATCACTGGCTGCCCTGGACTGGGCAATGCCAGGCTCCACTTCCATTTACCCAGCACCTGCCCCCAGCCCCAAGCACAGGCTGAGCCCTCAGCCTACCAGAGATGCTGAGTGACTGAGGGGCTTCTCGGGTCTGCCCCAATGGCTCGTACGCGGCACAGGACACGGGTCACGTTCCCATCCACCACACCGGTCACCTGGCATGGAAACAGCCAACTCAACAGCCTCATCCCTCCTTGCCCTGGCATTCAAGCCCCTCTCAGGTAGCCCCGCCCCATCCTCTGCTCCCTGACCTGGCCAAAGGCGATGGAGGCGATGGCCCCAGCTGTGTAGCGGCCCACCCCTGGCAGCAGCTTCTGCAGCATGTTTGCTGTGCGGGGTACGTGGCCCCCCAGCTCCTCCACCACCTGGGGGGAACACCCAGAGTCATCCCTTGACAGGGTTACCATAGGAACCTTCCCACTCTCTGACGTGGCCTGTCCCCACCTTTACATGTAAGGAAACTGAGGCAGGGAGGGAATACTTCCAAGGGCACGAGCTTGAGGAAACAGGCATTTACACAGCCCTACTGTGTGCCAGGTGCTGCGCTAAGTGCTTTACAAGAGTTATCTAAGTTGATCCTCACACCAGTCCTGTGAGGTAGGTGCTATCATGACCCTCAATTTACAGATGAAGAAAATGAAGCACAGAATAAGTGACCTGCCCAGGCTCACACAGCTGGCTGAGATCTGAGGTCACATCTGACCACAGGCCCAGTGCTCTATCCACAGCGCCAGTTTGTGGCCTCTTGGCGGTGCTAGGTCAGCAGGATGAGTGGGGCAGGGCTCCAGTCAGACCAGGCCAGGGTCCGCCCAAAGCTCTTCCAGCCTGGGGGTCTGGGCTCTGCCTCCCCCGGCCCTCCAGGAGCTGCGCTGGGGGCCCAGGCCTTCACCTTGCGAGCGCCTTCCTGCAGCCGCCGGCCCCGTGAATAGTAACCCAGGCCGGCCCACAGCTGGTTCACCTCCTGCCAGACAAGACAGAAATGTACATGTCAGGGGACCAGGAAGACCCCTGAAGGCCCAGCCCAACTCCACCCCCAAACTGTTCTTACCTCCAGGGATGCCCCCGCCAAGTCCTGCAGTGTTGGCCATTTCTACAGGCCCCAGGAGAGATAAAAGAGATCATCTGAGGGGGCAGCACCTCCCCACTCCCTCACTATGGGGGTAAACTGAGGCACAGGGGAGGCTTCTACTTTGGGGTAATGTGGGTTTATGGTCTCTCCCTCCAGCCCTGTGCTGGGGATGCCGGGGCAGACACTCAGGGACAGGCTGTCTTGGCTGCGTGGGGGTGGGGGTGGGGGACACTGCTCTGGCCACAGACATCACCTGCATCCATCTGGTATAGTAGCCAATAACTGTGGCGACCTGGGTCTGCTGGAGCATGATCTCAGACACCCAAACTGCAGGCAGGGGTGGGGGCAGAGTTAGAGCAGAAGTGGTGTGACCACCCGCCACCCACGGCATCCAGTCAGGTCCCAGCCCAGGTTCTCACCGGAGTATGCCCTCCTGTCCAGGTCCAGCTCTCCCGCTGCCTGTGGACAGTTAGGGGGCAGGAGCTCAAGCAGGAGGTTGACCCCCTCTCCCGCCTCTGGCCCCATCTCCTCCATCCTGCCCACACATACCCTCCTCCTCCAGGGCAGGTCCCGCTTGGCCTGATCATACCAGCTTAGGAGACTGGCCCGAAACCTGGTGACCTCATCAGCATCACCAAACAGATGGTATGGGGACACCTGGCTGGGGGTCCCTGGGCCTATGGGGCATGGATAGGAGATGCCTCAGGGGTCCAGCCAGCATGTGAACTGGGAATCACCTCTGCCTCTGTTTCCTCTTCTGTAAGAAGACCCCCGTGGGTCAGGGCCCACCCTCCAAAGTGCCTCAAGGCTCAGTGTTCAGGGAAAGGTCACGTGGGTGACAGGGGATTGAGGGTCTTCTGACCCTGCTGTCCCATCTGGCCTTCTGGTCCTGAGCCTCTCGCCTTCCCGAGTCCCTCCTGAAGCTTGCTAAGTCTGTGGGTGGCAGGGGGGTCCCCTCAAACTGAAGCAGGTAGAGCACCCCACCTGCGTCTGGGCTGGGCTGCTCCCCATGCCTCTGGCTGCCTCCCCCTGCCTTTCGGGGCTTCCTCATGGCCAGCCGGGGATCCGGAGGTCAGTCCTGGGGTCTCTCTGCTCAGCCCCAGGGGGTCGGACTGGCTCCTCGTGGACCCCAGGCTAGGTGGCGCCCAGCAGGGGCCTTGTTCTGCTGCTCACACCCGGCCTGCCTCAGGCTCCGGGCCACAGACCTCCTCTTCCTCCCTAGATGGGCACACGGACGCAGCTCTGACCTAGGGCAGAAGGGACAGGCGCCACTGGTCAGTTCAGTCTCCTCATCTGTAAAATGGAGATGAGGCCTGCAGTCCTCCCCTTCCTCCAGGGCTATTGTATGTGAAGTGCTTTGTAGCCTCAAAAGCACCACAGAATACCAGTTAACTATAGGTCAAGGACCTAGTAGTACCCCTGAGGCCAGACAAGCTGGTCCCTGGATGTGACATGCCATCTCCAGCCTCTGTGCCCTTGCCCAGGCTGTCCCCTCATGCCTGGTGCACCCTTCCTTCTCATCTCCCCCTTAGAGAATCTGCATCGTTCACTTTTGTCTCCCCAGTAGAGACCAATCTGGAGGCCTCTGCTAAAAGCCCCCTGGATTGAATTCACCTGAGAGATAGCAGAAGACCAATTCCTCACTGCACAGAGGGGGCAAGAACCAGCCAAGGGTCACAAAAGGTGAGAAAAACCAGAGCAGGCCTCCCCGCCCCCACCGCCGGTGTCCTTCGGTCTAGCGACTCCACGTGGGCAGGGGGCATGAGCCCCATCCCCCGAGGCTGGAGGGCTCAGTTCTCATCTCTGTGCGCGGCCTCTCCCGTCTCCACCTCGGGCTCCCCTCTCCATGCACGATCGCCATCCCCGACCCTGCCTGTGCCCAGGAGGCTTCACAGAGCCCCTTCTCTCCCCTCCCCCCCTCCCCCCCTCCACCCCAGGACGTGGCTCGGCCCGTCCGGAGGGACACCTGCAGGACCCCAGGAACGTCGAGGGCAGGGTCCATCTCGGCTTCCTCAGTTTCCCTTTCTGTACAAGGGAGGGGGATGGTGCCTTCCCCAGGGCTGGGGACGCGATAGACAGGAAGGTTTGAGCGCGAATGTGGACACTGGGGGAGGAGAGCACTAGCGAGTTATGGGGGGGGGTCCAGCCTAGGGAGATAATGAAGGAGAGAGCGCCAGCGCTTGGGGGGTGCTGATGGGGGAGCCCGACGTGTGGGGGTGAACCCAGCGTGGGGTTCATCTAGCTTAGGGGGGAATGGGGAAGGGGTGGCGGGGGGGGGAGTGTTGGGGGAGGGGCACCCAGTGGGGGGCACATGGGCGCCTGGACTCTTCCCTTTACCTTTACCTCTCGCGTTCCCGCGGAAAGCCTCGAGGAGGCGGAGAGCTCTGGCCAATCACAGCCCGATTGTAGCTCAGGGCGGGGTCTCGGCCCGGGAGCCAATGGGCTTCCAGCGCACGCCAGGCCCGCTGCGGGACCTCGAGGTCCCAGCCTGCCCACCTGTGCGCCTGCAGCACTGTTCAGCGCACGGAGCGTTAAGAGGCCGGAGTCGGGCGCTCAGGCAGAGCTGCCGGCAGCTCCACGCGGAAACGGAGGCCCCGCCCTAGGCTGTTGAGGCGTTGTGGCGGCTGGCGCAGAGACGGAGACCGAGACGGAAAAGGAGGCCGAAGTCGAGGCCCCGGAGTCCCCCAGCACAGTCAGGGACCAGGCGAAAGAGCCAGATAGGTGAGGGCAAGAGGAGAGACCAGGACGGGGAAGGGCCAGGAGGGGGCGCGGCCGGTCTGGAGCACGCAGATGCGGGCGGGGAGGCGGACGGCGGTGGGGCGGAGAGTGGTGGTGACTACAAGTCCCAGCGTGCACCGCAGTTTCCTCTGGCTGTGGGTCGCTGATCTGGGGGCGCTTCTAAGCATGTCGGGAGCTGTGGCCCTGGGGACAGCGAGGCATGGGGGCCTCTCGTAGTCTGAGCGGGAAGGTCCTTTGACACCACCCCTACCCATTTGACAGATAAGCAGGCGGCGCAGAGAGGGGAGGGAGCTCATCCCAGCGTGGAGGGGGTATCTTTGGCAGGTGGGGGGCACCTCCTCCCTGGAGTTCTCCAAGCAGGGACTGCCCCACTACTTGTGTGGGTTGGACTCGACTTGGATTAGTCATTCCCCTTTCCTGGGCCTCAGTTTCCCAATCTGTAAAATGAGGGGGATAAATTGGATGAGCCCCGTGGCCAGTCAGAGGAGGGGCCCGAGGCACACGTTGGGCCCCTACATGAGCTGGGGAGAAGGCACGAGCCCTTCCCCTCCCTGGGCTTTACTCTCCTGAGGGGGTTAGGTTGGAGGATTGAGTCATTAAACACTTATTTCTTTATTTTTTTTTAAATTTTTTTTTGCTTAGGCAGTTGGGGTTAAGTGACTTGCCCCGGGTCACGCAGCTAATAAATGTCAAGTGTTTGGTCTGAGGCTGGATTTGAACTCGGATCCTCCTGATTTCGGGGTCGGTGCTGTATCCACTATGCCACCTAGCTGCCCCTTATTAAACACTTACTAATCATCTACTGTGTGCCAGCTGCTCCTCTGTGGGGGGTGGGGGGAGATGCTGGGTCCTAGCAGGGGGAGGGTTGGGGCAAAGCAAGGGAGGCCAGGAAAAGAGTCGGATTGTCAGAGGGGGCGAGGCAGCCCAAGGGTGGCTCCTTGTGCATTTAGTAAGTGCCTGCTATGTGCCAGAAAGACAGCTGGACCTGGGTTGTGAAGGACTTAGAAACAGCAGACAGAAGTTTGTAGGTGTCTGATTGGAGGCCCAAAGGAGTGGTCACACAAGAGTCAGGATTCGAATCTAGCTCCTCTGACCCTAGGTCTGGGACTCTTTCCTCTCTAGGGCAGTTGTAGAGCTCAGGGGAGAGGCTGGGGCTGGATATCGAGAGATGTAGGCGTTGTCTGCATAGAGACGATTGAAGCCAGGGAAGCTGGTGAGCCCACCAAGTGAGATGACCAGAAGAAGGTGCCAGGACACCTGGCAGGCAGGTGAAGCCTGGGGAGCCGCCCTCCCAGGAGTGTTCTTAAATGCATCAGATAGGATGGCTAAAGGGCTTCTATGGAAACACAGTTGTCCAGAGGTTGAGAACAAGTTCTCCACCGCAGGTTAGGAATGTCTGGTGTAGAGGGACAAGGGCCTGGCCGGAGCTTTTGGGGATGGCTGGTGTTAGAGGGCAGGATGTAGAGGAAGATACAGCACAGGAGACAGCAGGGGCACAAATCCCTAGAGAGACCGTGTTCCGAGAAAGAAAGTGATGGCTACATGTGCATGGTAGGAGCCAGCTCCATTGGGCCTCCTGCTTCCGGTTCTGTAACAGGAAGCTGAAGCACTTCCTAACTGTGGGACCCTGGACAAGTCACTTAACTTTTCTGCCTCATTTTTCTCATCTGTAAAACAGGGATGATTGCAGCACCTGCCTCCCAAGGTTGTCGTGAAGATAAAACAAGATAATACTTGTAAAGTGTCTAGCAAACCTTAAAGTGCTATTTAAATGTAACCTTTTATTATTGTGTTATGGTGTGACTCCCAGGCCCTTGCCCTTCCCCATCCTGGTGGCCCTCCTCTGTACACTTTCCAGGTTATCAATGTGCTTCCTAACCTGTGGTACTCCAGAGGGCATCTGACCAAAGCCAGAGACAGCTGGACCGTCCTGTGTATTCCTGGAAGCATTGCCCCACTGAGGGCAGCCCAGGATCATGGGAACTTGCAGGCCACTAGCACCCCCAGATCTTTTTATACCAGGTACTCTGGCAGGCCTCCCTATTTTATCCTTGTAGAGGTGAGGCTTCACACCCTGGCCCCCTTGAATAGCCTCTTGCTAGGCTGGGCCCAGTGTTCTAGCCTGGGAAGGGCCTTTTGGACCCTGATTCCCTCATTGACAGGCATGCTGTCTGCTTTGTCCAAGGCATCATGAAAGTGTGAAGCAGCCATTGGGCTTTCCTTTGGAGACTTCCCAAGCTCATGTTTTCATGACCACTCCGGGTTTCACTAGCATCTGGCTTGGTTAGGGCATTTGGGGAGTTCCCTGTCAGAAAGAAGGAGGCTGACCCATGGAGTGCAGCTGGCCTGTCTCCATCATTCTCCTTTCTCCCTTCAGGTGAGGGCATGGAGCTCCCAGAGACATCACATGTTAGGGTGCCTGTGGTAGACGTGCAGGTAGACAACTTCAAGGACATGTGGCCTTCCATCCTACTGGCAATCAAGACAGCCAGCTTTGTAGCTGTGGACACGGTGAGGGCTGGGGGAGGGTGGCCCAGGGTGGTCCTGGGTGGCTCTAGCAGCTGCCCTGGGCTGGGCTGGGCTGGCTAGGACAGGCTGTGTCCCTCATTCGTAGCCTCCTCTGCTTCCCGCAGGAGCTGAGCGGTCTTGGGGAGAGGAGAAATTTGCTGAATCAGTGAGTTAAGTCCCTGTGCTTCCCTATGTGCATGCAGGACCCAGACCTCTTCTACTGGAGCTCAGCCTTGGAGCCTGCTAGGAGTCGGTCTGTGTGCCCTGGGGAGGAGCCTTCCTGGGCAGTGGGCGGTAGGGTCCTGATTGGGCTTTTCTTTTCTTTTTTTGTGAGGCAATTGGGGTTAAGTGACTTCTCCAGGGTCACACAGCTATTAAGTGTTAAGTGTCTGAGGCTAGATTTGAACTCAGGTCCTCCTGACTCCAGGGCCGGTGCTCTATCCACTGTACCACTTAGCTGCCCCCCTTGATCGGGCTTTTCTTACCCAGCATCTTCTGTGTCCTCAGTTGCATCGAAGAGCGATATAAAGCTGTGTCCCGAGCAGCCCGATCACGTTCTATCCTCTCCCTGGGCCTGGCTTGCTTTAAGAACCAAAGGAACAAGGTAGCCTTGGGATGCATGGGACCAGCCGGGGACGGGGAGGGGGAAAAGGGGTGGCAAGCCTAAGGCCCCGCCTCCCCCTCTGGCTCTCTCCCAGGGGGAGCACAATTACCTTGTGCAAGTGTTTAACCTCACTCTGCTGTGCATGCAAGAGTATGTCATCGAGCCGCAGTCAGTGCAGTTCCTGGTGCAGCACGGCTTTGACTTCAACCGCCAGTACACGCAAGGCATTCCTTACCACAAAGGCGACGACAAGGTAGGCATTCTGCCCGGCCCCCTTGTGCCTGGAGCCCAGTAGAGGAGGCTCTGCCCAGGGCCCAGGTGACAGACTGGGCTGGGGGCCCCACAATGGGGCGTGAGTTCCTGGGGGAGGTCAGGGCAGAGGAGCCACTCCTGCCTCTCGCGGCTCCCAGGGGGATGAGAGCCGCAGCCAAGGAGTCCGGATGCTGTTCCTGGAGCTGATCCGCGCCCGCCGGCCGTTGGTGCTACACAATGGACTGATCGACCTGGCCTTCCTCTATCAGAGCTTTTACGCTCACCTGCCAGACAAGCTGATCACTTTCACTGCTGACCTCTTTGAGATGTTCCCAGCTGGGATCTATGATACCAAGTATGCTGCGGAGTTCCACGCCCGCTTTGTGGCCTCCTACTTGGAGTATGCCTACAGGAAGTGGTAAGGGAGCCCAGCCCTGCCTGGGAAGTGGGCTCGAGAGCCTGGCTGGGGAGGGGTGTGGAGGCCCCGACAAACACAGCACATTTGCTAATTGCAGTGAACGAGAGAATGGGAAGCAGCGAGCTGCCGGAGCCCCCCACTTGGTCTTGGAGTTCTGCAGCTATCCATCCAGCATGGACGCCCACATTGACTACCGCTGCTGCCCCGTGTCCGAGGCCCACACCCAACTGAGTCCCAACCTCTCCACCTCTAACATCTGTGATACCTTCTCTGTGAGTGTCTTCCCTGGGGCGGGCAGGGGGAATCAGAGGAACTGAGAATCTCCTTTGTTCTTGCCTTCTCTCTTCTCTTTCAGGCCTACGGCTGGTGTCCTCTGGGCCTACAGTGCCCTCAGTCCCATGATGTTGACCTCATCATCAGCACAGATGAGGCCATGGAGGACAAAAGGAAGCGGCGAGGGGGCCGGCGGAGGAAGCGGTGGAAGGGACTGCCAGGCCAGCCTGGGCCCGTGCCTGGGGAGGGGCCAACCCCCCAAAAACAGACCTGCAGGGAAGGCCAGGGGGCTGAAGTGGAGGATGGAGCCAACCCTTTAGAGAGCGAGGCTGAGGACATGTCTTTGTCTGGCCTAGAGCCGTGCTCCAGTGAGGACTTGGAGCCCGAGCCAGAGCTGGACTTAGAGCCTGGGCAAGGAGCCGGGCAGAGCTCTGGGTCTCGAGGGGCCACTGTGGGAGGGGGGCTACACCGTGCTGGCTTTGATGCCTTCATGACAGGCTATGTCATGGCCTACGTGGGGGTGAGTGGGGGTGCGGAGCCCTGCAGTGAGCCTTGGTTGCCAGAGTGCCACAATAAGGTGTATCTGAGTGGCAAGTCTGTGCCCCTGCCCATAGCCAAGAGCCACTTCTCCAGGACCTCCAAAGCCCACAGTGAGAAGATGAAGCTGGCCTGGGGCAGCAGCTAAGCCAATCTCCTTCCTGCCCAGCTCCCAGGCCTTCAGGCAGGAGGCTGGGCCCCTGGACTTCTCTTCTCTGACTGGCCCTCGCACCCTCCCCACATACATGTGGAAGAGTGTTGTGGTTAGCACCTGGATCGGGACAGTTAAAGCCTGAGGTGACAGAGGCTTGTGGCCCATTCTGGCCAACTGGAGAGAGGAGAGCAGGACTCCTGTGGACAGCACCCCCTTCCTGGGGGCCCAAGAAAGCCAAGTCTGACCAGTTACCTGCAACTCTTTTAATTTTTAAATCTGAAAGCAACTTGGCAAAGTTTTACAAAAAAAAAGAAAAAAGAAAAAAAAATTATGAAACAATTTAACCGGCTTCATCTTTGGTTCTGCTTGCGGCTCCACCAGAACAGCCCTTCCCTCCTGGCCACCCCTCCCCTCAAAACAAACTCATTTGCTTGACACGTCCCTAAACATACACATTAGAAATGTGGTTTGCAAAGCCGGCTTGGGCAGTGTTAACGCATGGGGCTGGGGGCCCAGGAAGTGGCCAGAGCCCATGCTCCTGGTCACAAGGTGAGCTATTTACAGATGGCCAAGTTTTAAGACTCCTTCATAAATAGGAAAATAGACACGTCATCTGGACAGTTCTAAATGTTCTAAGTTCATGAAACCCAAGTTTAGGCAGCCCTGCCAGGTCCTGCCTGCCCTCCCCCCCACCCCCCCTTGCATAGAATCCATCCTAGGGACAGTAGGACTGGAGCAGTAAGTGCAAACGAGATTTGAAATTCAAGTGTCATGTACTGGCAAGAAGTGTCCACGTCCTCGGGTGGGAGACTTGGCCCTCTCCCCTCCTGCTGCTGCTGGTTTGTCCATATCTGCATCAAAGCTTAGCTCCAGACTCCAAAGAGGAGCTTATGGCCCCTGGAGACTTGCAGTGGGGCCGGAGAAGAGACCAAGGGACTAGCGTGACCACCCCCTGCCCTGTCCGCAACTGACTGAGCTGTGCTGGGAAGTGAGGAAGGCTGCTCCTTTGGCGTCAGCTGGGAGGGATGGCCCATCTGGTCCCCAGAACAACCAGAAGATGGGATTGGTGAGGCGGTAGAGAATGCTGGTTCAAGGTTTGGAGGGCCTCGGTAGCTCCCAGCCTAGATTTTGGTTTAACTGAGGCTGAGCTCTGGACCAGTGATAAGTGTCTGGCTCTCCTGGGCCCCACTCGAGGCAGGCTAGCTGCCTGTGCCCACTCTGTCTCTCCCCATATACCTGCTCTTCTCCATTCCCTGAGGAGGGGCAGGATGCAGCAGGCCTCAGCTAGGGCTGAGGTGGACAGAAGGCCCAAGACCACGGAGCCCAGGCTCAGGTTTTGTAAGAGGTTGCCCTGAACCAGAGTCTCTGGCCCCCTGGTCTGGAAAGGGGGCCAAGCCCTGGCCAGGCTCACCCATCACATTCTATCTGCCCTTGACTGCCCCTGCTGCCTGCTGCAGCCCCAGCCGGGCTGGGCAGCAAGTTCTGGGGCACCTGGGAATCCTCCACTTCCATAGCCTCTGGGGCAAGGGGCCCAAAGCCATTCTCCTCCTGGGAGCTTACAGTACAATAACAGTCCATGGCTTCTTGTTCCGAAGCATGTGAGGAGGCTGGGCCCCGGAACGGTGGGATCTCTGTGACCCCATACTTAAGGCTGCTGAGTAGCCGCAGGGGGCCCTCAAAAGGGGTCTCCTCTCGTCCCCCAAAGGGGCCAGCCGCCTGCTGCAGGAACTCAGGGCAGCTGGGCAGAGAGCGCCAGCGGCGGAGAGGCGCAGCCACAGGCTCCTGCCATTCTGCAGGAAGCCGGCCGATACCCCCACCAGAGCCCCCGGGCCCTGGTGCGTCCAGGTCAAACACCAGAGAAATGACTGACTTGCTGGGCATGTCAAAAAATTTGATTCTGCCCCCCTTGAGGTCCTGGCGGGCACTGAAAGGATTGATCTTGGGGATGTGGGTCCCTTCACCACGGTGGGGCACATAGGAGGGGTCGAGCACGCTCACTGCACGTGGGGCTTTATGGCTGAAGATGTCTGACTGACTTCGGGACAACCAGACGGTGCGTCGTGGGCGAGGAGACTTGGGCGGAATCTTGTCGTCCAGGGAGCTCGGCCGCTTCACCCCGGGGCCCTTCTCCAGGAGGCCTGGAAGGATGGAGGCCGTCAGCCTCACTTGGCCGCCTGTTCCCCAGCTGCCCTCTCCCCCACATCTCCCATCTGCCAGCTCCCTCCCTGCCCCAGGGCCCGCTCCTCCTCGGGGTTCCTGCTGGCTCTCACCCTTGGCAATGGACACAGGCTTGCTGTCTTTCTCCAGTCCTTCCTCCTGTAAGCAACTCAGAGTCTCTTCCAGGGTCTTTACAATTTCAGCAAAGGGGGGCCGGAGCTTTGGGTCCATCTGTGAACACAGCAGCAGGAAGTGGGAGGGGGTGGGACAAATGAACCCCACTGACCCGCAGCCATCCCTCCTCTGGAGCTGGGGGAAGGGTTCTGTCCTCAGCGGAAAACTAAGAATGACAGAATTTCAGGGCCAAGACGGTCTCCGTTCAGCCATTCCCACCCCAACCTCAAACATACATCCCCTTCCATTTCTGGAGGTATCACCTCTCTCATGAAGCCTTCATCAGGGCCAGGCAGGGGCTAAGCTCTAGGGCTGCAAAGAAAGGCAAAGAATCCTTGCCTTCAAGGCACTTACGATCTCATGGAGGGAAACAATGGAGAAATCACTGTATATAGAAGACATTACTGCTTGCTGTGAGGTGGGCCTCACAGAAGACAACAGAAGTCACTTTCTCATTCTGAGCCTCAGTTTCCCCCATCACAAAATCTTATCATAGGAAGGGAGCTCAGTAGGAATAAGACTGCCCCCCCCATTCCAGAAACAAGGGGCCTCTACTTGCAGACCTCCAAGGACAGGGAGATCACTACCTCTCAAGGCAGCCCATACCTCTCAGGGATGGCTCTTATCACTGGAAAACTCTTCTAGACCACCAAGCTCAGTCGGCCTCTCTGTGGCCTTCTCCCTTTGCTCCTGGCCCTGTCCTCTGGGCCAAGCAGAGCAAGGCTGACCCTCCTCCATGACAGCCTCTCAAATACTTGGAGCCAGGCATCCCCTGGGTCCTCCCTGAACGTTCTTTCCAGGTTAAGCATCCCCCGGGTCCCTCCCTTGAGCCTCCCATGGCATGAACCCCAGGTCCTTCCTCCTCCTGCCTGCCCTTCTCTGGACACCCTCCAGCCCATTCAAAGCCCTTCTCAGACCACTGTGCTCCAGAGGAGGCCTGACGGGGCCTCACCTCTTTAGTCCTGAATGCAGCCCCACAGCGCGCCAGGTTTTGTCTGCCTTAACACACTAGTGTGTGAGTGAGATTCTGGTCCACTAGGACCGCCAGTCTCTTCCAGACAAGCTGCTGTCTGTCCAGTCAGGACTCCCACTATCCTATACCTATGAAGGTGACTTTGGAACCCAAGTGTAGGCCATTTATCCCCCAGAATTTGACCTATTGTCTTCTTTTAGCTTCAAGCTCTGTCATCTGGTGTGTCCACTACCCCCCGCTCCAGCATGGGCTCATCTGCTGTTTGATGAGTGTGGCACTGATGCCTTCACCTAACCAACAACCCAGGGCCATGCACAGTCAGTCAACAAACACTGAGGAAGTACATGCTATGTGCCAGGCACCGTCCCTGCTCTTAGGAGCTCCCAGGTTGGGGGGGGGGGGGTGCAGGTGGGGAAGACAGCCTGTGAACAAGTATGTAGAGTCAAGCGCCATCCAGGGTGAACTGGAAATAACCACCAGAGGGTGGGCGCTGGCATTAAGAGGGCTGGGGAAGGCTTCCTGTAGAAGGTGGGATTTTGGTTGGGGTCTGAAGGGAGCCAGGGAAGGCAGGAGGTGGAGATGAGGAGGGAGAGTGTTCCAGGCCCAAGGGACAGCCTGAGAAAATGCCCAGAGCCAAGAGATGGAGTGTGGCGTTCATGGACTAGCCCGGAAGCTGGTGTCACCGATGGAAGAGTGTATAGATGGGTAACATAGAACAAGACGACTGGAAATGTATGAAGGGGCCGAGTTATGTCAGGCTTTGAACACCAAACAAAGGATTTTGTGTTTGGTCCCGGAGGTGATAAGGAGCCACTGTAATTCACCTAATACCGTAAATTACATATTTATTTAGCATGTTGTCTTCCTCATCCATCTGTTACAGCGGGGACCATGTTTTTGCCTTTCTTTGTACCCAGAACACTTTGCACAGTGCCTGTGAACACTACACATACAGCAAATGATTAATAAAGGCTTGTTCACTGACTGACAACCTGGTCCCTCTTGGACCTCCCAAGAGTAGCCGTGGATTCCCTGGACGCCCTTGGAGGTACACAGAGGCAGACTACACACAGTCGTTAGCCATCAGAGCTGTCCACAAGTGACATGGGCTTCCTGGTGAGGGACTGGATTGAAAGGAGGATTGTTGGTGAGAAGACTGGTGCTCAAGGACAGGTGCCCCACCCAGGGGGTCTGAGCGCTGGTTGCGGCCATGGAAGAGCAGAGAAGGAACTCACATTGCAGCAGTTGAAGGCGAGCTGCAGGAAGTCTGGGGGACAGTCTCCCACCATGTGCTGGAAGGCGTCATAGTCCAGGCCGAAGTTCTGTGAACGAACACGGAGGAAGCTGATGGGGATCTATGACACTCGGCCCTCCCAGGCCCTGGAGAAAGCACATCCCCCCCAACCCACCCCGGCCGGGGGCTTGCTCACCTCTGTCCGGGGCAGATAGTCTGGATCAGCCTGGATTCGGGCAATGATCTCACAGAGGATGATCCCATAGGAGAACACGTCAGCCTGTAGAGGGGATGATGGGAATGGTAAGTCCCCCACCCTGCAGCTCACCATTTTCCCAGATCCTGCACAGTATATCCACCCTTATTCAAGAAGCCACATTAGGAGGTGATGAGCCTGGGGAGGACACCCAGGGAAAAAAGGGCAGAGCAAAGCAGCAACACCCCCCCCCCCACCCCAAGCTACAGGCCAGACCGGGCCCTTCCAAACAGCCCCGGCAAGCCCCCATGTTGGCCACCACTCAGTCTGTGCCTCCTGCTGCCTCTCCAGGGACCAGCTCCTGAAAGGAATGTCTGTTTCCCTAAGGTCCTGAGATCAGCTCAGCACCAACACTAGCCTCCCCAGCCCCTGACACGGGGACCCTCACACTCACCTTCTCATTGTAGGGCTCATCTCTGAGAACCTCCGGGGCCATCCAGAAGGGGGAGCCCACCACTGCCAGCTTCTCACTTCCTGCACTGCGGGAAGGGAGAGAGAGAGTCACCCAAAGAGCCGCAGAGACACCTAAAGACGGCTGGCAGGAAGCACAGAAGCTGGGCAGTCGCTCGGAGGTCATAGGAATGCCGAGGCCTTTCTCTTCAGAGGGGTCACCTACCTGCAATCAGGAATCTTCTCGGCCAGGCCAAAGTCAGCCACCACAGCAGAGTAACCGTTCTCCTCACTCTTAATCAGGCAGTTCTGCATTTTGCAAAAAGAGGAGAAACAAGATAGTGGAATCTGACCCTCTGAACACACTGCCCTCCCTCCCCCATTGTAATGGCATGTACAGGTGGGCCTGGGCACCCAGGATCGATGGATTTCAGGGATTTCATTCAGTCTAACCCCCTCATTTTACAGATGAGGAAACTGAGGCCCAGGAGGGGATGTGGGTTGTCCAGGTGCTGCACAGCTGCCTCCTTGCTACTTCAGCCTGTCTCAAGCGAGTTGCCAGGCTATGCACGCTCCCCTCATAATCCCATTTGAGGAGAGTCTATGAACACCTACAGTCGAGTTCTTTCTATCCCCTTGCCACAGCTCCTGGCTTCAAGGAAATGGTTCTGGCTCCACATGAGGACCAGAGACCCAGTGAGAGGAAGGGGGAAACTGGGGCTCTCAGGAGAAGTGAGTTCTGCCATTGCTGAGCCTCCAGGCCCCCTGACCCTGAGAACAGAACCAGCGATTAGAGCGGCTCAGCATGCGCTCACTCTAATCCCTGCGGGATCCTCACAAGGACGTGAGCCTGCCTAAGCTCCCCACCGGTTACTGAAGTCAGCACTCCAGCTGGGCACGGTCTGGTCCTAACTGGCTTGTCAATCTTTCTCACCACTCTATTCTAAGAACTCTGGGAATTAGCCACAGCAGCCTGCTTGCTGAACAGATATGCCCGGTGCTTTCCTTTGTAGGTCTGGCCCCCTAATCCGTCCTGTTGTTGTCTCCACTGCTGCCTCTTCCCATGAAGCCACATATGACCCCGTTAGCCCCTGAGCTCCTAAAGCACTTGGACCTCTCCGTTACTTACGAGCTGTAACACATCTTGTCTTCCGGGCCCTGTTAGTGGATTACCTGCCATAAGACCAGGAGCACCCCATAAACAGAGGAGAGCATTACTCATCTCTGGAGCCCTCAGGGCACCTTGCATGTGGTAAGCAGGTGCTCAAAAACATCTATTCTTTAACAAGCTTTAGATGGCTACTGGATCCAAGGGTGTAGGAAGAGATTCAGAGATAGTCCAGATGGTCTAACAGTGGCCATGACATACAGTCACAAATAACAAATACGAAATAGAAAAAGGTGAGACAGGCAAAGCACAAAGGCCCAGGAGGCCTAGGGAAGGAAAGCTCACATATAACAAGGCCACCAGTGAAGCTTGGCTTGAAAGGACGGGCAGAAATTCAACAAGTGGGAATGGTGGCAGGGAGCAAACAGAAAGCTAGCTAGGGCCAGGAGTCACATAGACAAAGGTGCAGAGGAAGGAATAGCATGGCGCATCTGGGCAATAGTGAGGTGTCATATTGGCAGAGTCAAGGTGTGGGGAGCACAGATCACTGAGGGTCTTGGGAATGCCAGGTGGGGGAAAGCTGGGGTTTTTCTACAGGTAATGGGAACTACTGAAGGCTTTTCAGCAGGACACTGCCATGGTCAGAGCTGGATTTAAGGAACTGTTAAGCATACAGATGAACTTTAGTATTTTGCCAACTGACTTGCAGCAATAACTGGAACAGCCTAAGAAAAACGACATCCAGAATAGCCCAGTTCAGATTGAGTTGCCAAGAGGCTGGGCCCCCTGCCTGCCATGGCTCCCCCCACCTCCAGTGCAGGAGCTGGCCAGCTCTCCCTGCCCTTGAGGAAGTCAGGGCCAGGATGGATGACTCAGCGTGTCAGTTCTGGGGCCAACGAAGCCCCATCTGACCCCAGCTGGTTCTTTGGGCCATACTGTACATCTCCCTGGGCACCTACCAGTGGAGCCCATGTTTCCATTTCTCCTGCTGACCCAAAAGGAGCCAGCAGTTTTGTTTTCTACTTCTCACCACCCAAACTGGCAGCCTAGGCCTTGCTCACTGGTTCCCTGGGGGCATGGCCCTGACCACTTGCCAGGGACGTGGGCTCCACTCCAGCCTTCCTAAGGGCAGCCGATGTCCCCATTCACATGTGGCCTGCCAAGAAGGGGGAGTCCATCAGATCTGCGCACCCCTGATCCCAGTCCCCAGTGTTACATTCTCCTTCTATCACCCCTAAATCTCACAGGAGAGACTCTTCCCTTCCTCTGTTAAAACACCAAGTTCCAGGACTCAGGCTCTGGCCTTCAAGGCCAGATCTAAAGCCTTGTTGTTTATGCCCCTTGTGAGGCAGCTTGGCCAGTGGTGACTATCTACAGAGGGGCTCTCTCTCACTCTTTGTTATTTTGAATCAAAGCACCCATTGATCCAGGCTCCAAGTTCCTGTGCTTACCTTAAACCACCCTGGAGAATACTCAGCTTCCATCTGACTCTTTACCAGTTTCTCAGCTTGCACTTCACAGGCGCTGTCCCAGAGCCCGTCCTTACACTGGGACAGAGGACCAGGATCGGTTACTCTTACTTGTCTTTTCTAGTCACCAATCGCTATTCAGATGGAACCTGCAGGCTCCTGTTTACCCAGAAGCTAACTTCACAGGGCTCCTTCTGACAGAGCCAATAACTTTGGGCACATTTAATCTCCACAAAGCAAAGAGGGGAATACAGACAACCATGGCCTTGGCAATCAGGAAACCCTGGATTCAGATGCCAGCTCTTCCATTTAGGACTCTGAACCTCTCTAAACCTGTTTGGTTACCTATAAAGTTAAGCTAAATCCCACCTCTACTAACTAGCTCAGAGGGGTGTTGTAATAATCGACTGAAATCATGACAAATGATTTATGAAGTGTTTTCTCAAGATAGCCATGATTATTATGGCAGCATAAAGAGCTCTTAACTAAAGGTCCTGCCCTGTCCACCCTTGAAAGCCCGCCTAAATTCACAACCATGTTACTTCCCATGACTAGCTTAGATATGCCACACACAGCTTGAGCCTTGACCTTGGTGAAGTGCCAACTGTGATGGTGCAGAAATGTGTTCTGGGAATGCAGGTATTACTGAGAAAGAGGGGATACTCCCAGGAGAGCTAGCCAGGGTTATGGATATGGCATAGCTAGCCCAACTTGTATGTACCCAAGAAGCTTCCCCACCCTTCTGCCTAGCCAGGGTGGGCAGGGGCCTACCTGAGGCCCTACACAGACTCACACCAAATTCAGTGCACTTTGAGGCAACACTGAAGGCTGCAGAGAATTCAGAACATTGATGATGTTGGGCTCAGCCTTAGTATCCCTGCAGGTCACAAGCAGACTTGGGAAAACTATCAGAGGTCATCAAACATGGTCAGGACATGGACATATATTTCCTAATAAAATGCAGACGAGGGGTCATTTCATCTTTGCTTGCAGCCCTGTAAGGAAGCAGAAAGGCAGCCCACGCCTCTGGAGTAGCCCTCATGGTTAGAGATTGCTTCCTGGGGCCATGCAGCTCATCCCTCCTTCCACAAGAGAGCCCTTCTAGTACCTCCTCTGGATCCATCCCTATCCGGGCTGCCATTCAGCTTTTCAATATCCTCCTCTAAATGTTCAGAGCAACCATTTGGCTCATAATAATACTGTGAGATAAGTCACACAAGTGACTTGCCTACGGTCATAAAGCTAGCCAGTACCTGAGCAAGAGGACAATTTGTTGGCAGCTGGTGGCATGGTGGATAGAGTGCTAGACCCGGTGTCAGGAAGACCAGAGTACAAATATGGCTTCACATACCTACTAGCTCTGTGACCCATGACAACTCAGGTAATCTCTGTCTGCCTCAGTATTTTCCTCTGTAAAATGGGGGATAATAATAGTACCTGCTTCCCAGGATTAGTGAAAAGATAAAATGAGATAATATTTGCAAAGTGTTCTGCAGACTTTGAAATGATATCTAAATGCTGTTATTATTATTGTTAATAATAATAATTTTGGACCAGGGCCAGTCAAGATTTTGCCTGTGATGTTCTCAGCCTCCTAAATGGGTTTGTATTGACAGCTGTACCACCAGCAGAGGTTGGTGAGACAATTTTCTGGCAGTTCTACCTTCTATGGGGTTGCTTGCTTAGAATTAAGGCCAGGTAAGACTTGGAGGTAACCCCCCTTCCCAACACAGGGCTTCTTTTTGAAATGCTGAATTTTCAAAAAAGGATCAAAAGAAAGGCTAGGCCCCAGAGAGAGAATGCACAACTCATTCTCTGAATTCAACTCAGATCTTCTGTTTTCTCTGCCAGGGGGTTTGACCACTGAACTCAGAAAGACGGCTCAAAAATGGGCAATAGGGATTTGAAATCCAAGCTCAAAAGGAGACAGTCAAGAGTCTGGCTGAGGGCGGGTCACCAGGCTCAGACAACCTGGTGCTCAGAATGAACTGAAAGGACTGGCCTCGGTGACTGCTGAACAAGGGCAAATGATCTTTGAATAATCACAGGACAGAGAAACGGTAAATATTTCCATTTTCAAAAAGAGAGAAGAGAGTGAAATCTCTAAACCAATGGTTCTTAAACATTTCTTGTGGCATGGGGCTCGTTGACAGTTTGGTGAAGGCTACGGATCTCTTTTCAGAATAATGTTTTGTTTTGTTTTTTCGGTTGGGCAATGGCGGTTATATGACTTGCCCAGGGTCTGAGGCCGGATTTGAACTCAGGTCTTCCTGAATCCAGGGCTGGTGCTCTATCCACTGCGCCAGGTGCCCCCAGAATAATGTTTTTAAATGCATAAAATAAAACACAAAGGATTATAAAAGAAATAAATTATATCAAAATAAAGATGTATTTTTTTTTCCCATCCAAGTTCAGAAACCCCAGGAAATCTCTCCATGGATTATTCCAGGTAAAGAACTCCTGCCCAAAATTCCAGGTCGGTGAGAATGACCTTCTTTCCAGGCTGCACTCCTGACTCTCCTCCGGGACCGTCTACAATGTAGGATGCCCTCATTTCCCCTTCCCCAACCTCGTCCAGACTCCTTTTCTGTGTTGTCTTACCCCATTAGAATGCAAGTTCCTTGAGGGCTGAAACTGTCTTGCTTTTTGATTATATTTGTATTCTGAGAATTTAGCACAACATCTGGTACAGAGTCTGCTTTAAAAATGCTTGTTGACATAACTCGACCTTG